GCTAAGAAGGGTAGTGACTCTGGGTAACGTGCAGGACATAGTGGATGGTTTTGCATGATGGGATTGCCTAACTGCGGTGGGGTGATAGACAGAACACATATCCCTATTGTGGCACCAGACCACTTTGCCAAAGAGTACATAAACCAAAAGGAGTACTTCTCAATGGTGTTGTGTAATGAGGCGGTGTGGCGCCCCTCCGTCCTCCATAGGGCCGAACTTCCCCTAACCCCAAACGTGGGCAGAGCCACCGGGTCCGGTGCCCGCCCCTCCGAGGTCACGGCCCCGACCCGGAAGTATAAAAGCCCGCCTGCAGAGCTCAGTGGAGCCCAGGCCGGCAGAGAGAGCAGACGTCCCAGGCTGAGCTCCTGCTTGGGAGACAGCCACAGGCCGCGAGCCGCCTGCTACCCCACCGCGCCGGTCGAGCCTGCCCCGGGCCAGCTACCCCGAGGAGGACTGGCCAAGCCTGCCCCGGGCCAGCTACCCTGGTGGAGACCTGCCGGACCTGCCCCCAAGCCCCGCACCAGAGGAACTGATGCTGCTGGACTGGCCCGAACCCGGCATCACCAATGAGGTAGGCCCCGAGGGGGAACATGGAAGTAGCCCAGGGGTAGCCGACCCTGGTCAGGCTGCAGAGACATGTAAGCCGATGTCAGTGTGTTTCGGTCAGGACACCCCACTGACCAGCAGTGGCAGTAACCGCTGCTAGGGCCCCGGGCTGGGATGCAGTGGAGTGGGTGGGCCTGCGTTCCCCCCTGCCACCCCTGCTCACGGGTGGCAGGTTTCCCCCTCACCCAACTCTCAGGTAGGAACCTGGGCCTCCCCCAAAGTGTATTGTTGCTCAGCCCCTGCACCAGAGGGCCTGAGCCCCTTAACTGACTGTTGCTCAGTCCCTGCACCAAAGGGCCTGAGCCCCCCCTCCCCCAACTGTGTATTGTTGCTCAGCCCCTGCACCAAAGGGCCTGAGCTAGCTGAGTGTTTGCTCAGCCCTGCCCGAGGGCCTGAGCTCCCTGAACTGTGGGTCGCTCAGCCCCTGCGTAAAGGGGCCTGAGCTTTGACTGTCTGTGCTGTAGTGAGTCGGTGTGGCGTCCCGGAGGGTAGAGCCCCGTCGCGAACCTACTACATGTTGCAAGCTCTGGTGGATCACCAGCACCGTTTCACCTACATCAATGTGAGATGGTTGGGAAAAGTGTATGACGTACGCATCTTTAGGAAAGATGCAAACAGGGACTCTCTTTCCAGACTGCAAAATAACCAGTGGTGATGTTGAAATGCCAATCGTGATCCTCGGAGACCTAGCCTATCCCTTGCTCCCATGGCTCATGAAGCCATACACAGGCAGCCTGGACAGCAGTAAGGACCGGTTCAACCATAGGCTGAGCAAGTGCAGAATGGTGGTGGAATGTGCCTTTGGATGTTTAAAAGGTCACTGGCGTTGTTTGCTTACTAGGTTAGACGTCAATGAAAGCAATACCCCATTGTTATTGCTGCCTGCTGTGTGCTCCATAATATCTGAGAAACAGAGGGAGAAAAGTTTGTGGGGCGGGGGGGAGGAGGGGGTTTGAGGCAGATCATCTGGCAGCCAATTTTGAGCAGCCAGACTCCAGGGCAATAAGAAGAGCACATCTGGGGGGGTGGGGGGAGAGGGGGCTCTGCATCTCTGTGAGGCTTTGAAAACAAGTTTCAGCAATGAGCCAGAGTAACGTGAGACTTATTGGTGTTGTACCTTACCAAACTGTCCCCTCCAGTGCATTTTCTTCCCTGTAAACTCCACCCCCACTAATCACTGTGTGTTGAATGAATAAAGAGCCGTTTCTCCTCAATCCGTGAAGTTTTATTATGCACACCAACACACAGAGACAGCAAAGAAAAGTAAGATAACCTGGAGCAAAAGGGCTGATAAAACTGTGGGGGGAGAAACAAGGAAAACTTGCTTACAGATATACTGCAATAACAATCAAAGGTGTGGGAATGGGCACCTTCTGGTCCTTGTACCCTCCCCTGGTGTTGTGTCCATGTTCTCAGACAGTCTCATCATCCATGCTCTGAGCTCTGTCTTGTCACTCTTGGAGGCGTGCATTAACTCATTGAACATGTCCTCCTGAGTCTCCTTTTTCTGCCTTCTAATCTGGGAAAGTCTCTGTCCCGGTCTGGAGGATGTGCCGATGGACAAGGTTTCAGCTGCAAGAAATACAAAGCACAAGAGTAGCATTGACAATGTTTCTGGCAAGGTTAATTCTTTTTATTAAAAAAAACACCACCCCTCAATTCACTTGACTGCAAGCCACAAAGTAATCACAACTGCTGGCTGTTGCAAGAGTCGGTTTGCTGCTCCAGCCATGGTGAGTAAGGCCATGAGGCATGGGCAAGAGGTCTTGTGCTGCTGTTTTTGTGAAGACATCCTTGGGATCACAAGTTGGAAGTTGAGAAAAGCCCCCTTTCCCCTAGCAACGTGGATAGTCCTTGAGGACAGGCACCAGTCTAAAGCCCCCCAAATAGTTTGTATTTTACAAAAACAGCACTGGGTTTGGGGGGGAGGGAGACAAACAGGAAGCCGCCACCCCCACCTCCTTTTTTTTTGTCGTCCCCCCCCAATGCTGCTTGCAATACACAGTGATCTCTTCTGACTACAACCACGGCATGTTTGGGAAAGTGTGGTTGTGTGACCCGGATTTCACCAAACGGGGCGGATTACTTGTTGAATTGTTTGCGGTTTAAGGGCTAGCATTCAAAACTTCCCCCGTTTTCAGTAGGCAATCCTATGCGATATCACTGTCCTGAGGGTAACAGAGGCACCAGGGGAGCAGATGCTCAAGCATGTACAGACCTGGTCCTTAAGCTGCAATGCTGTGTGCTGCAGTGATGCCAGCAGAGTTAATACTGGAGTGGCACGGGAGAGTGTCCTACCATGGTGGACGAAATAAGACAGCCCTTCCCAGAAACCTTCTGCAAAGGATTGCAGAGTACCTCCATGAAAGCTTCCTAGAGATCTCCATGGAGGATTCCCAGGCCATCCCCATGCACGTAAACAGTGTTTTTTCGGAGAGCACCCTCTGCGTAGCTGGAGTGGCCACTGATACCCATGACACCTACTTTTTTGTTCAGTTTAAACATGGAAAATAATAGCATGTAACCCCTACAATTTGATTGGAAATGTGTACTCGCCAGAAGTGCCTTCCCCTGCATCATGCTCTGCCGCCAACTGGTCCTGTGAAGGGATGGGCTCAAGGATTAAAACAGTTCTTAGCTCTTGGGGAGAATGGATCCTCTCCTTGCCTGCCTCACATTCTTCTCCTTCTCCTCCTCCTCCTTGTTTGAGGACACCCAGGGCTCCTGGGAAGTATCCACAGAGCATTTTGGGGGTAGTGGTGGCATCGCCGCCAAGAATCGCATGCAGCTCCTCATAAGTGGCGTGTCTGTGGGGCAGCACCAGAATGACTGTTCGCTTCCTGTGTACCTCGCTAACGTGCAGTGGAGTTGAAAGTGCTCTCCAGAGCAGTCACAGTGGAGCACTGTGAGATACCTCCTGGAGACCAATTCATTCGAATTGCACAACGCAGTGGTTACACTATCCTCATGTCGACCTGTGGATGTCGAATCAAATGCTATGCCTGTCATGGAGGTGGAGTACAGAAGGCAACTTTACAGCCACTTAGGTCTGCAGAAGGGACTCTCTGTTGTCTAGACATATACATTATTAGATCAAGTTAACGCAGCTTATGCCGACCTAAGTTTGTAGTGTAGACCAGGCCTCAGAAAAAACATTAACATTAGGGAAATGTCCTCAGACTTCCAAACTCTTACCCTAATATATGTCTACACTGCAATATAATTCTGCAGCTGACTTGGGCTCACAGGGCTTGGACTGCAGGGCTATAAAATTGCTGCGTAGACGTTCAGGCTTGGGCTGGAGCCTAGGCTATAGGATCCTGTGAAAGGTAGGGTCTTGGAGCCGAGCCTTGGCTTCAGCCTGAGCCCAATTGTCTACATTGCAATTTTGTAGCCCTGCAGTCCAAGCCCCACAAGCCAGAGTCATCTCACGTGGGCCAGCCACAGGATTTTATATAAATAAAACACTTTTCAGCTTCTGTGGAAGAATTTTAAAATTTTTAAAAATTTTAAAAGAATTCTCAAATTATGGGCAGAATGTTCTCAAGAAGAATCTTGATGACAACAAGAAATCATACAATGAATGGAGAAGAGGAAGCCAGAGGAGGTATTCAAAGAGGATGCGACATGCTCAGATATTTGGGATAGGAAAGTCATTTGATGTCTGTATTTTGGATGGGCTGGAGTTGGGTAATGTATAATACTAATTGGGATATGATGACACTGGAAACTTGATTTAGAGGTGATTAAGGGCGCAACTTTATGAAGCTCTGAGCACCATCAAGTCTGACTGAGGAGTTGAAGGTATATGGAATTTTGCAGAAGTGGATCTAATTGGATCCAACTAGACGTGATCTCAGTTTTGTTTTTGTTTTTTCCTCCAGAGGATGGTGGTATTCCCTGTATCCATCTCATGCTCAGGGAAAGGATGTTAGAGATGTACAACTTTCAGAGCTAGAATATATTTTTCTTGCTTGTCTTGATAAGCATAGGTCTCTTGTTCAATCAACTATTTAGGACATAAGAGGCTTAGAGTCCGAACTTCATTTCTGTGTGCAGTAAATACAGTGCCTCTGTATCAGAGCGGTAGCCGTGTTAGTCTGTATCCACAAAAACAACGAGGAGTCCGGTGGCACCTTAAAGACTAACAGATTTATTTGGGCATAAGCCTTTGTGGGTAAAAAAAAGTTTTTATTTTTTTTACAGTACCTCTGTATGCCTTCCCCAATTTTCTCATGTATACAGTTTTAAACTTTGGCACTCTTTAGATGGTTGACTTTTAGACTATGCAGTCTTCTTACTTGTAACATCAGTATCATCAGGGTCAAGTTACAGAAACTTAAAACCTTGCCTGGTGTCCAAATTTAATATAACTTTTTTTTCCTCCTATATAGTAACAAAAAAAAGTTAAGCATAAGAAGTCTTCCAGTGGAACCTGATGTGTCTGGATCAGAAACTGATGTGAGGTGAAGCTGAGAGGAGTCTGAGAATTCATGTGAAGAATTCCAGCTACAGGTTGGTGGGTGAAAGGATGTTAGCACAACCCAAAGATCTACTGGATACCATACCCAGTTGATAATAGGAGATACCGTGTACTGGGCTTCACACATTGCTTTCTTAATCCATCTCAAATACCCTTTTGTAGCATACTCCTTTCTCCTTTAGAAGCCAATTTTTTGACTAATATAAAAAGGGGGATGAAGCCCAACAAAAGGGTGTAAAGTAACCAAATATAGGGATAGAGGTCAGCAAGGTATTTAAGCATGTGCCAAATTCTGAAGCAGAGGGACTGTTCATCTGCTTAAGTATTTTGCTCATTTGGGGCCATCGTGCAGCAGGTAAAGGATTTTCACCTACCAAGAAAATGACAAGAGAAAAAGATACAGTTAAAAGATTGTTTGTTTTTCTTATTTTAATTGAAATTAATTAAATAAATGTAGTTGACTTTTCAGTATTTTTTCAGTTGACTTTTTTGCATGTCCCTCTACTTGGTCAGTGCATACCTGTTTGGTGTTTCACTTTATCATCTAGTTTGTTTCGTTTTATGGGTTTCCATGCTCTAACCAAGTGTTCATTGAGACACAGAAACTTCAGAAGAGTGTCTTAACTTTAAAAATTGTTGAAATTAATTTAAATGTGTTTGCACATTACAGCCTATTCACTCCTCCTGCCGAGACTCTGCCCTTCCCCAAGTGCAGACTCCTGAACTGTGTAGAGAGTTCAGGGGTCTGTACTTCATCTGGTTCAGGGGGAACAATGCTGTGAAGATGGTTGAGCCCACCTTCAATAGTATATATCAAGGGGAAACACGGTCTGGCCCATTATTGTATTTGGTTGTTTTTAACACCCAGGTCACCCAGATTCCTTGCACAGTAATTTTTTTCATGGTCAAGGAATTTTGAAAAGTCCTATTGAGATCATGAAACTGACTGATTCTGCAGCTGTGATTCTGAGAGTAGACAGTTGGGTTTGTGTTGGTTCTTTTGAAGGGGACAAAGAAGATTTACTGCTGTTGAATCCGCAAATGCTCACCACACAACACTCTCACTGTATGGAGCAGAGTGCTGTTTTCCTGCATGTTGGCATGTTTGTATTACATTTCTTCATATTGATCCTTCAAGCTAACTAAGGGCTTGTTTTTGCAGAACCTGTAATCAAAATAACTAAACTGGTTGTAAGTCACACCTTTTGGTTATTTCGGTGCAAGTCTGCATGTAGACACTCTCTTATTTCAGATTGAGTCCCAAATTTTGATTTAAGTCAGTAAAAAATTGACTTAACTACAAATGGTTATATTGGTTCCAGTTTGTGCATAGAAAATCCCTAAAAGGCAATGTTGATGAGCCTGAAAGGGAGTTCTTTTTGTTTTTTTCAGAGAGAATATAATTGCAACAAAGACTCTTGGGTAGGATTTAAAATAGGTGAACAGAGGCCTGGGGAAATCCCCTATCCTGTTTTTTTTAGAATTGAATGTAAATAGAGACTAGGTACTGGAAACTAACTGATAGCTAAGAATTATTTTAATTAATGTCAACATTAATTGATTAATAATGTAGTTTTGAATACATTTTGACATCTCCACTTCATTTACAGGTCAGTGGAAACATCCCTGCATACAAACACAGAAACATACATAAAACATATTTTTTAGAATAAAGAATGTTACAAAAAATTCTGTAAGAAATAATCTTCCTGTTGTCATCTATCGCACATTCCACATTATGTACCATCTCTAAAATCTTTCCTCTCCATAATGGCTAGCGCGCACACACACACACACACGTGCGCCATTATGGAGAGGAAAGATTTTAAAGATGGTACATAATGTATATAAATAAAATAGCCATGTTGGTATAACTTCATCTTCAAATTCACGTAACCATACTATCATGTCGTCTTAACATATTTAATGGTCTTAGTACAAACTGCACAGCTTGTAGTCAATCTTTGGAAAGGTTATTTGTAAAGTCATGTTGTTCATTGGGAAATGTAGTCATATTTTAACTTTGTTTTTACTGACTTTGATGTTTTTGAGAACATGGTATACTATTTGTAGCAACCTTAACTGTATACTGATATAGGGTTTGTTTGTTTGTTTGTTTTTGTCTAATTATACCAGGGCTCAGCTCTGTATATTTGCCACAGTAATGCCCAAAAGGAGTCTGATACTTAGTTAGTAGACTAAACCAAGAAACAGCGATAAAGTGTTTTTATATATCATCTGTACAAAAACAAGAGCTGACAAGAAAAACCACGTTGCCACTGATATACTTCTTATTTAATTAAATATTTTCAATCTAGTTTGTTACTTTGCTCAGCAATTATTATTCGCTTTATTCAAACTGGGAACTGTACACATATTAGAATGAAAGACTGTCCAGTTTCATCATCTCTTCTGTGAGTATCTCATGAAGAATTCAAAACACACACACACACCCCCTCGCCCCCAGCAACCAACTGGTGTAATTTTCCTAGTTGCTTCTCTGAACAGATGGGAATGCTTTTTTAAAGCCACACTCCTCAGGGAATGGAAATTTGTTCAACGCATATAGCAACAGTGCACTACAGGGACCACACTTACTCTTTTGATGTGCTCTTGACTAAAGATGTGCTAAATCAAGGTGCTGGACTTCTTGGCTCATTCAAATAGATCTTGCACTTATAGTTGAAACCTTAAAGATTGAGCTGACACATTCTTGTGCTAATAGAGTTCTGGGGAGGTCTGTATTTGCTAATTCTTTTGCCCATTCCTCTTCAGGCCCTTCTCTCTGAAACCATGCCAGAGATGACAGAGAATGAGACTCCTATGAAGAAACAGCACCGGTAAGTATCTGTGGCCAATTGACTGGAACGTGTTGGCCAGCTGAAAACTCTGTAGAGCCTCTGCTGTACTGCTAGGCCATCTGTCCAAGGAAAACATACCTTAGCAACCTAAGTGAAGTCCTCTGATTATCTACAGGGCAGCAGACAGGCAAAATCTTCTTTGAGTGATGTCCCTATGGCTACTCCACTGTAGGTGCAGCAGCACCCTCTGCACCTGGGATTGGAGATCTTTGGTAGCATTGTCCGTTGGACTGCACATGTGCTCCTCCCCGTCTTGCGTCGTGAGCGGGATCTATATATAGCTCTGTGTGGTCCAACCACTCTCAGTTCTTTCTCAACCGCCTTTGGTCTGGGATAGAATTTGGAGCAGAGCCTTTCTATCCTCTGAGTCTTTAGATAGTACCCTTACCTGTTTAGCTTAGTAATTAGTAGTTTCCTTTAATTGTCGTCTTCCCCCTTAAAAAAAATATATATATCCCTTGTTCTTCCCTCCCTATTAGTATTTAACTTAGAATACGTCTTTCCCACTGCCTGCCCTTCCCTACCGGGAAGCTCTTTCCCTTTGGACAAGTGGGTCCTGGAAATCATCAACAAAGAATACTGCATCCCATTCCTATCTAGTTCACCTGCCCACACCCTTCTCCGTCACTCTTCTGGGACCTTCTCATGAACATCTTCCATGAGAAGAAATAAACCACCTGCAAATGGGAGCCATAGAATCCGTCCCATCCCAACACAGAGGGAAGGGTTTTTATTCCCATTATTTTCTGATCCAAAAGAAATCCAGCAGGCGGAGACCAATCCTAGACCTATGAAATCTCAATAAATTCGTCAAACTGCAACGCTTCAAGATGATTACGCTATCCATCATTATCCCAGCACTGGAACAGGGAGACTGGTTCTCCACCTCCAAGATACGTATTTTCACATCACCAGATGGTTCCTCAGATTCATCATGGGGACCAATCATGACTAGTACAAGGTACTTCACTTTGGACTTTTTACAGCCCCCTGAGTCGTCTTCAAAGTCCTTGCAGAAGTGGCAGCCTACCTACACAAACAAGGCATTGTCATATTCCCATACTTAGATGACTGTCTCCTCAAGGCTTCATCCAAACCTGACTTAGTTCATGCCGTAGAGCAGACAATGAACCTTCTCTCAAATCTCTGCCTTCATATAAACGTACAAAAATTGATGCTGTCACCTGTACAACACTTGGAGTTTATTGGGGCACGCTTGGATGTGATACTGGCCAAAGCCTTCCTCTCAGCTAACAGATTTTCAAGAGTAGTCGACCTTGTGTCCACTATGAGAACCTGTCCCCAGATCTCTGCCAGGTCGTGTCTTCAGCTGCTCGGCCACATGTTAGCGGCCACATGGTAGCGGCCACATTTGTGGTAAAGCATGCCAGGATGCATCTGTGCTGTCTCCAGGCGTGACTACGCATTGTCTATGTACCTCACAGGCACAGTTTTCACAAATTCCTATCCATGCATATCAAGGTCAATGGCTCACTACTCTGGTGGACACAACCCAAAAACATCTGTGTCAGGGTTCCTTTCCTTCAACCAGCACCATCCCTGATAGTAACAACTGACGCCTCCCTAATCGGTTGGGGAGCACACCTTCTCACCCATATAGTGCAGGGCAGGTGGTCCCTAGTGGAATCATCCTACACATCAATCTTCTAGAGCAATGGGCAGTCCACAATGCCTGCTGGCATTTTCTACCACTGATCAGACATCGCACTATATGAGATACGACGGACAACATCGCCTGCGTGTTCTACATCATCAGACAAGGCCAAGCAAGGTCCAACTCCCTATGTTCGGAAGCCCTGAAATTATGGAAATGATGTATCCAACACAACATCAGCATTTCAGCTGCATACTTCCCTGGACACCAGAACACCTTGGCAGACTCATTGAAGAGGAGATTCTCCCAAGATGACAAGTGGGAACTAGATACAAAAACCCTACACCACATATTCAGCTGCTGGGGATTCCCAACCATAGATCTCTTTGCCATACAGGAGAATGTCAGATGCCCTCAATTCTGCTCAAGAGCAGGCCTATGCCCTCAGGTGCCTGTGAGATGCGTTCCTCATTACGTGGGATGCCCCACTACTCTACGCCATCCCAACAATTCCTCTCTTGTTCAGAGTGCTTCAGAAGATACAGGGGGATCGAGCCCAAGTCATTCTTATAGCTCTAACATGGCTATGTCCAATTTGGTATACTCACCATCATGCGAAGGAGGTATGTCCTCTGATTGCTCTGTGCCTCCTCTCACAGGATGCGGTCAAATCCTCCATCCCAACCCACATCCCCTATATCTGAAGGCAGGAGTCCTCCATGGTTTCAGGATTCAGAGGTGACCTGTTCAGAGGCAGTAAAAGAGATCCACTTGAATAGCACACATGACACAACTCGACGCACTTACCTCCAAAAATGGACAAGGTTCTGATCCTGGTGCACCACCAATCACGTCATGGCGATGAATATTCTTTTACTTGTTCTGGACTATATTTTGGATCTTAAAAAATCAAGGTTATCCACAAGTTCCATTCGTGTTCACATAGCCTCCATCACAACATTCCATCCCAATATAGACAGCCACTCTGTCTTCGCCCACCCCCTCATGAAGAGGTTATTGAAAGGTCTACAAAACCTTTACCCTCGCATACGAGATCCCACCCCGGTTTGGGACCCTGGCCTCATCTAGCGCTGCCTCACCAGACCACTGTTCAAGCCCATGGCAGCATGCTCTTATATTCATCTATCCATGAAAACAGCATTTCTCATCACCATCAGATCGGCTCGACAGGTAGGAGAAATTGGCACTCTCATGACATACACCCAGTACACAGCTTTTCATAAAGACTAGGTCACCTTACGTCTATATCCAAAATTCTTACCAAGGTACCAACCTCCTTCCATTTAAATCAACCTATCCACCTTCCCTGCATTTTCCCAAATCACATAGCAGCCAACAGGAGGCGACGTTACACACCTTGGATGTCAGGCAAGCATTAGCTTTTTACCTGGATAGAACTAAATCTTTCACACAATAGCCACACTTATTCCTGTCAGTGGTCGAAAGATAGAAAGGCCATATCCAAACAATGCCTTTCCAAGCAGATCTCCCAATGTATACACCTTTTCAACCAACTGCACAATCAACAGTCTCCTTCTGGAACTTGAGCACATTCTACCCACTCTCTCTCCAACTCGATTGCCTTTCTCAACAATATCCCAATTATTGACATTTGCAAAGCGGCCACCTGGGCCTCCACAGACACTTTTAGCCGTCACTGCGCAATTACTACTCAGCATCAGCTGCCCTGCTAGGACATGTTGTTGTCCTGTCATCTGCACTAAATGCCTCTCCGAAGCCCAAGCCTTCCAACTAGGGGCACTGCTTTACAGTCGTCTATAGTGGAGCACCCATAGGGACATCAGAAGAAAAAGAGAGGGTTACTCACCCAGTGCAGTAATTGATGTTCTTTGAGATGTGTGTCCCTAAGGGTGCTCCACTACCCGCCCTCCTCTCCTCTGCTTTGGAGCTGAAAGATAAGCTCTGCAGTCAAGAAGGAGCTGAGAGCGGTTGGACAGCACAGCACTATATGTTGATCCCGTTCGCAGCGCGAGATGGGCAGAAGCGCATATGTGGTCCAATGGGCACTGCTACCAAAGATCTCCGATCCCAGGCATAGGGGGCACTGCTGCACCTACAGTGGAGCAGCCATCAGGGGACACAGTTCAAAGAACCTCAGTTTCTGCACAGGGTGAGTGACCTTCTCTTTCTCACATATACTACCCTGCTAAGTATACCCCAATCCTGGTCTAGCGGTAGCTTCCTCTAGAGATAATAGGGGTAATTCAGACTCTGTGGTCCATACAATTCTTGGTTTCTAGTCTAGGTCTGCCAATTAGTGCAATATGTGATGGTGGGTTTTGATGTGGAATTAAGACCCATCAGACTCACATAGGGGGCCACTAAATATCTATTAGATGGAAACAACTTTTAATTACTGCTAAGCTAGGCTGGTTTCAAACTGTTGAAAGGCTCTGTAGTTCCTTAGCAATACACTGAGGTATCCAGTCCCCCAGTAAGTGCTAACCTTCAAGAATGAGGCTTATTTTTTGGAGAGAAAAATTTATTAAATCAAATTCTGATTTCTTTGGAGCTTGCACATGCACGATCTCCCACTCTCTGGGGTCACAAGCAAAATCTCCCACATACTACTTTGTCTACATCAAACACACTGTATGACTGCACTATTTTGTTCTTGAAGGGACAGCTGCCATTAACAAAAATACAAATAATAATACAGTAATAAAATAACTATTAATGCATTATCCACATTCATCTCTAATATCATTTCAACAATTATGATTATTCTAAATTCCTCACACTAGCTTGAGAGGTGTGTGTGTATACATACATACATACATACATTTAAAAAAACACATTTAAAAGAAATTATTGTAGAAGGTAAAATTAAGGTTGCAAAGTCAGCATAGAAAAGCTAGGAAATTCCAGAATTCAGGTTAGCTGTATCACTTCAATTATGATGCTTTGGAATACAAGATAAAATTTTCAAATGTGCTTAAGTCCATTAAAAGTCAATAGTATTTAGGGCACTTAAGTCATGTGGATGCTTTTGAAAATGTTACCCACAGTCTTTAATCATATAACTATACACTATTTTTTCCCTGAGAAGGCTTTGAACCCAGGACCCTCAGATCCACAGCACAAGCCTCTTCCACTTGAGACAGTGCTACAATGCTGGGTATTCATGCATTCTGTTCCTGGCTCTTGGAAGCAGAATGTGGTCAGGATGTGGTAGAGGCAGCATATTGAAGCACATAATTTGGCACAGTCATTCTAAAAGGCATTGTGGCAAAACAAATCAGATTCAGGCCCAACATATTAATTGCCTGGGTTCATTCCCTGCTGTGGCTGAAATTACCATGTACAACCTCTCTGCTATCTTATCCATGAAATGGGTGAATGACAGTTGCTTCGCCTTGTGGTTCATAATTTAGGTTTTGAAATGCATAGAAATATTAAGAGCAGCCACTGGAGAAAGGTGGGACTAGAGATTGTGGTTTCCTAGTGTTTCATTATTATTATTTACTTATATTATTGTAGCACCTAGGAGCCCCAGACACATACCATGACCCCATTGTGCTAAGCACTGTACAAACACAGAAAACAAGCCAGTTTCTGCCCCAATGAGCTTACAATCTAAGTATAATACAAGAAAGAACAGATGGCTGCAGGCAGTCTGATTGGGGGAGTACAAGGAAACAATGAGACAGTGTACCAGCAGCCTAATTGTTGTCAAGTTTTTTGTAGGCATCATGGCAAAGGAATGTTTTAAGGAGAATAATGACTTAGTTTTGCAGATGTTTCAGGGAGCTCCTCCAAGTCTGGGGGACAGCATGGGAGAAAGCAGGAAAGTACTTGTTTAACAAGCGGGCAATGGAGACAGGCATCGTCCTTTTGATATTTGAATGAGAGATGATAGGTGGGGTGGCGATAGGTCGAGAAGAGGCTTGAAAGTGAAGACAAGTACCTTATGTTTGACACAATAGAGAAGAGAGATGCAAAGAGAGGGGTGACATGGTCAAAGAGATGGGTTAGGAAACGTGTCTTTGCAGCAGCATTCTAATGGACCTGAGCAGGTCAAGCTTGCATTTGTCAAAGTCAGAGAAGAATATTGCAGTAACTGAGGTGAGAGCCTAGATGGAAGTTTTAGCTGTGTGGATGGATAGAGATGTTATGCAGAAAGAATCTGCAAGACTTAGGCCTGGTCCACACTAACCCCCCACTTCGGACTAAGGTACACAAATTCAGCTACGTTAATAACGTAGCTGAATTCGAAGTACCTTAGTCCGAACTTACCGCGGGTCCAGACGCGGCAGACAGGCTCCCCCGTCGATGCCGCGTACTCCTCTCGCTGAGCTGGAGTACCGGCGTCGACAGCAAGCACTTCCGGGATCGATCTCTTACATCCGAACCAGGAAGTAAGTATAGACGTACCCTTAGACATAGCCTGGATGTAAGGACCTAGAGAGAGTTCCAAGTTGAAGATGACACCCAGATTATGGGAGTCCGTGACAAGCAGGATGGTGGTGGTGTCCCCAGTGATCAAGAAAAGAGTAGTGCAGAGGACTTGAGGGGGAAAGATTAAGTGCACATTCCGTAGGCTACCAGGTTTTGGGAGGGGGGCTGGGAAAGGGTGTGTGAGTTTCTCAAGTGCATAGCATTTTATCAGCTGTGGGAGAAGACATGACCGATCTGCTAAATGTGTGAGTGTCACGTAAGCTACAACATTTGGCAGGCCTGAGAATGTAATTCCCCAAGATGGAATTTCACCAGGTCATCAGTTTTGTGTGTCACCTGAAAGACAGCACCCTCGAGGATCAGGTCTTGTGTTGTCCTCCTGTTGATTTCAGTGGGACCAGGAGAAGGCACTGGATTAGCTGATGGGATCATCGCAACAATGAGATTTGAGTAAGATCTGCAATTAAGCATTCATTTTCACTCTCCCAACAGAAAACGTATTTATTTGGTGGCAAAGGATATGGGACAAGTTTTCCGTGTGTTAGGTCTTTGATTCAGGAAGGAGTCCTTATTCAGGAAGGGTGTTTAAACAAATGCTTAAGTGCTTTCCTGAATTGAAGCCTTGGCCTGCTTTAAGCTAGGCCACAGCCTGCTGCTGAATAAAAGTGAGTGTTAAGATCCATTGCATTTCTTCCCCCCTCGTCTCACAAGCAGCTGTGCTTCTTCAAGTATTTGTCCATAAGGCTCTCACTCAAGACGCACATGCACCTGTGTATGCAAGATTGGAATCTTTTGGCCAGCAAGTGTCTGGGACAGTGCATGCGCCCTGCATGGCCTCATGCCTCTAATCAAGCGCATACGGAGCAGAGTGAGTCTCAACTGCAACTTAGTTCCTTCTTACTACCTATGACAGCGAGACAGGACCTCCACAGTGTCCAACTGCTACCCCATAGCTCTTTGTTACCTTTAGTATTAGTTCAATGTTAATTTTTCTGTATTTTTTCCTGTCTTGCTTATGAGGCAGCTATTCCCTTAAATGATGGGAATATTAAATATTTTATTTGCCTTTCCAGACCAGTTTCAACATGCAGGCCTTTTTTAAAACACCCTTAAAAAGTCCGAGATTATTATTTTTATTGGAGCAATCAGTGAAGGGTGTGTCTGATTCTGAAACTCTACATCAAAAAGAAGCATCTACTACCTCCAAGCTGCACACAGCAAGTGCTCAGGCATGCTGATTCCATGAACCTCCTTTCCTGTTAATGTGGAGTCCTTTAATCTTGGTGAAGGAACTGAATGGTGGCTGGGCCCACTCTGCTATTTATGCGCTTGGGTAGGGGGCAAGAGGACATGCAGTGTTCAGGTATGGCCCCTACAGACATTGCTGGCCAAAAGAATCCAGTCTCGTGCACATAGGGCACATGTGCACCTAGAGTGGGAACCATGTGGACAAACTTTGTAAAGGACCGCACTTACTGTAAAGTAAGTAACTTGTTCCTTTTCCGCCTTTTCCATTAAGCTCTGGGAACAATAAAATACTTGTGTCTGTAGCATGGCTGTAAGTACAAAAAATTAAGTGTGCTCTGTTTAGTGCAGCTTTTTCATGAGATGAGCTTTCCCATTGGTCAGAAATCTGTTTAGTTTCTATTTATTTATATCATGATAGTGCCCAAAGACTCCAGTGAGCATCGGAGGCCCATTGTGATAGGTGCTGGAAGAAACCATCCCTATACATGTATACATTGTATCAAATACACACAGAACGCACGTGTAGTATTGCACTCTAATCCATTTAGTCTGAACATTCATGATCTTTTCTCAGAAATCATTAATATAATATATTCCTATACCAAGAACTACTTTAGTGTGTTTTTTATTTCTCTTCCCTATATTCTTTCTTGCCAAGAAAGGAGAATTTTGTATTAAATGTATTTTTTAACCATAACAATGAAATTGCCTTAAAACATAAAAGAAATAATTGTTCATGTGGAGGTTTTCCCTTTTATTTCACATAATTTCTTTTGCTCTCTTGTATTACAGAAAGAAAAACCGGGAGACACACAATGCAGGTAGGAACTACAGTGTTTTACTGTTCAGAGTTGAGCCGCACAGCTCTTTGAGTTCCTTACTCCAATCTGCTTAAAAGCATACAAGGACTGGTGCATTTGGAATGGGGAAAGATCCATTTATTGGAGTGTATTACATGAAAAGACTCCAGAGCCTCACATGGAACACCTGAAGCAGGGCTGCTTTATGGACAGCCGTAACCATCCTTTAGTTTGCCTACATGATGGAAAATCTATAGAATAATAGAAATAATATCTTGTATAAACAGGAGAGGCCCTCTGAATATGACCCTTCACTCATGTCCCTTTTCCTCCCAAATACCTCTGTGGACACCTTGGCTTTTCACTTCATTGCTAATAACCTCAGTGAATCAACAATTTCTATTCAGCTACAAGGAAGATATAAGCAAAAGCAGATATTGGTTTTGTGTGAGTATATTTTTGGGAATAAACATATAAAGTATATGGAAACCAGGGGAAGGCATCTAACACATAGAATGCATTTTAACTTTTAGAGACCTTGGGTTAAATATTTTGAGATGGGATTAAGCCGCAGCATAAACTTCCATTGCATTCCGTTGAACACCACCAGCCCCGAAATCCTCCATAGAACCAATCTGTGCTTTGTGGAGATTTCCCCCCTCTCCTAACACAAGCCCATTCCTCTCTGTTGGTTCCCAGCTTAAGCAGCGTTTGGGAACTCACAGCTGTAGGACAGGGAGTGGCAGGTTACCTTCAGAAACGCGGATTCCAACCAACTCAGAGAAATAGTAGGCATGGTCCCATGGAAAGACCAATTAGGAATAAAGGAGTCAAAGAGGGCTAAAAGTTCCTAAAAGATGTAATACAGTACTGAAGACTCAACAACAAGCTATTCCAATGCCGAGGAAAGATAAGAAGAACCACAGGAGGCCAATGTGGCTGCTGTACAAGGAGCTTTTTAGCTCTCTAAAAACCAAACAGATACATACATTGAAGATAATAAGGTGATGAGTAACAGTCAGCATGGATTTGTCAGCAATAAATCATGTCAAACTAATATAATAGCATTCTTTGATGGGGTAACAAGCCTTGTGGATGGAGAGAAGTGGTAGATGTGGTAAATCTTGACCTTAGTAAAGCTTTTGATGCTGTCTTGCATGACCTTCTCATATTTGCCTAGTTTAACAACCTAGATGGAGTTACTATAAGGTAGGGGCATAACTGGTTGGAAAACCATTCCCAGAGAGTAGTTATCAGTGGATCACAGTCAAGATCGAAGGGCATATTGAGGGGTCCCTCAGGGATCAGTTCTGGGTCCGGTTCTGTTCAATATCTTCATCAGTGATTTAGGTAATGGCAGAGAGAGTACACTTGTCAAGTTTGCGGACGATACCAAGCTAGGATGGGATGCAACTGCTTTGGAGGATAGGATTAAAATTCAAAATGATCTGGGCAAACTGGAGAAATGGCCTCAAGTAAATAGGATGAAATTCAATAAGAACAAATGCAGAGTACTCCAGTTAGGAAAGACCAATCAGTTGCACACACAAAAAATGGGAAATGACTACCTAGGAAGGAGTACTGCAGAAAGGGATCTGGGGCTCATAGTGGATCACAAGCTAAATGTGAGTCAACAGTGTAACACTGTTGCAAAAAAAGCAAACGTCATTCTGGGATGTATTAGTAGGAGTATTGGTAAGCAAGACACAAGAAATAATTCTTCTGCTCTACTCTGCACTGATTAGGCCTCAGCTAGAGTATTCTGTCTAGTTTGGGGCCCCACATTTCAGGAAAGATGTGGACAAATTGGAGAAAGTCCAGTAAAGAGCAACAAAAATGATTAATGACCGAGGAAACATGACCTCTAAGGGAAGATGGAAAAAAAAATTTTTTTTTAAGTCTGGAGAAGAGAACTGGGGGGGGAGATATGATAACAGTTTTCAAGTACATAAAAGATTGTTACAAGGAGGAGGGAGAAAAATTGTTCTCTTTAACCTCTGAAGATAGAACAAGAAGCAATGGGCTTAAATTGCAGCCAGGGCAGTTTAGGGTGGACATTAGGAAAAACTTTCTAACTGTCAGGGTAGTTAAGCACTGGAATAAATTGCCTAGGGAGGTTGTGAAACTGTCATTGGAGATTTTTAAGAGTAGATTATACAAACATCTGTCAGGAATTGTCTAGATAATATTTAGTCCTGCCTTGAATGCTGAGGACTGGACTAGAAGACCTCTCGAGGTCCCTTCCAGTCCTATGATTCTATACAGAAAATGGAAAGAGGGGTATGTCACCAAGGAAATATACATGGGAATAGCACAAGCATGTAGGGATAAAATCAGGAAAGATTTAACAAGAAGAGGTTCTTCAAATATGTCAGACAAAAAAGAAAGGTCAAGGATGGTGTGGGTCTGCTACTCAATTGAGAACATGAGCTGGTAACAGAAGATGATAGGAAAGCAGAGCTGCTCAATGCCTATTTTGCTTTAGTCTTCTCACAAAAAATAATGTGGTTGGATGCCTAGGGAAGTTACTGTAGATTATAAAGGGGAAGGGATGCAGATGGGGATAATTAAAGAAGACGTCAGAGGTCTTCTGACCAATTTGAATGAATTCACATCAGTAGTGCCGGATGCTATACACCTCAGGGTACTGAAGGAATTAGTTGAAGAGATTTCACAGCCACTGGCAATAATATTTGTAAACTGATGGATGACAGGAGAGGTCCCAAAAGACTGGAGAAGGGCTAACATAATGCCCATCCTTAATAGGGGCGGAAAGGAGTAGCTGGGGAACTATAGACCAGTCAGCCTGACTTCGATACCTAGGAAGCTACTAGAGCAATGTATAAAACATTCAATTTGTGAATACCTGGAGGACAAAGGGGTGATCGCTAGCAGCCAGCATGGATTTACTAAGAACAAATCATGCCAAACCAGCTTGATTTCCTTCTTTGACAGAGTAACTGGTTTGGTGGATAGGGGGAATGTGGTGGACATAATATACCTGGACTTCAGCAAGGCTTTTGACACAGTCCCACATGACATTCTGATAGGTAAGTTGGAGAAATGCGGGCTTAGTGGAACTATCATTAAGTGGATACAAAATTGGTTAAACAACCACAAACAAAAGTAATTATTAATGGAATGATGTCCAATTGGAAGGAGGTCTCAAGTGGGATTCCACAAGGAACTGTTCTGGGTCCAGTGCTGTTTAACATCTTTATTGATGATCTGGGTGTAGGAATAGAGAGCATATTGATCAAATTTGCACATGACACAAAGCTGTGGGGTGGAGGGTTTGCCAACACTTTTTGGAGGATAGAGCTACAATTCCAATGGATCTTGATAAATTGGAGAACTGGACTATTGAAAACAAAATGGAATTCAACAAAGACAAATGTAAGTAAGGTGTTACACTTAGGGAAGAAAAAACAAATGCACAAATATAGAATGGGAGATAACTGGCTTTGCATCAGCACTGCTAAGAAGGATCTGGGAGTTGTGGTGGATCACAACCTCAACATGAGTCGGCAGTAATAATATATGGAGATATACCTATCTCATAGAGCTGGACGGGACCCTGAGAAGTCATCAAGTCCAGCCCCTGCCTTTACTAGGAGGACCAAGTACTGATTTTGCCCCAGATCCCTAAGTGGCCCCCCTCAAGGATTGAACTCACAACCCTGCGTTTAGCAGACTAATGCTCAAACCACTGAGCTATTCCTCCCCCCAATGTGATACCGTTGCAAAAAAAGCAAATGCAATTTTAGGTTGCATGTCATGTAAGTCATGGGAAGTGATCACTCTACTCAGCACTGGTTAGGCCTCAGCTGGAGTACTGTGTCCAATTTTGGTCAACAATGTATAGAAAGGATGTAGAGAAACTGGCCAGCAACAAAGATGATCAGAGGGATGGAACACAAGCCATATGAGAAAAGGCTGAAAAACTGGGTCTGTTTAGTTTGGAAAAGAGGAGATTAAGAGGGGGACATGATTGTGGTCTTCAAATACTTGAAAGACTTTCATAAAAAAGATAAAGAAAAGTTTTTCTCTCTTGCCACAAAGGGCAGGACAGGAGGCAATGGGTTCAAACTACAGCAAAACAGATTTAGATTAAATCTCAGAAAAAAATTCCATTGTCCTACAGTTCTTACAATTAGGAACAGGCTACCTGGGGAGTTGTGGAAGCTCCTTCACTGGAAGTTTTCAAAAGGAGGTTGGATAGCCATCTGTCTTGGATGGTTTAAATACAACAAATCCTGCATCTTGGTAGGGGGTTAGACTAGATGACCTTTGCAGTCCCTTCTATGATTCTATGCTTGAACTAGTTTATCCCAAGAGTTCTGATCCAGTTATGCCTCCAAGCAGTCAGAATCTATGCCTCCCTGGAATAGTGGTAACTAGTGGCATTCCTAAACCTTAAGAAACTTGTTCAGTGCTTAGAGCAGGATTGCAGGAATTAGGGGTCTTGGTTTCTATTCCCAGCTCTGGCACTGTCCTACTATGGTGGCTACGGGGAAGTCTCTGCACGTCTGTGCCTTGGTTTCCCCATATTACAGAAAAGTGGTGAAATTTAATGTTTGCAGGGAGCCTTCAGCTCCTGAGATGAAAGGTGCTATAGTAATTCAGAGTATTATTAAGATGTAGAATGCTAGAAGATTAGCCAAGTGTTAACAAATAAACTTTCTGCAATCTAGTATTATAATTAGTGAAATATATACTTAAGATTGTCAAAGTGTTGCCATTCTATGGCCCTGATTTCAGTTGCTCTTATTTTTTCAAAACTTTCACCTATTGGGCTGAAGCTTTCCAGTCATGGGGCATGAATTCTTACTACCCTGCACCTGAGCAAATCCACTTTGCCCTCACCTGGCACAGATATTAATGTGACTGCACAGTGTGTGAGGCCTGGTCTACACTACAGAGTTAGGTCGAAGGAAGCCGCCTTAAGTCGACCTGTTAATGTATGTGTCTACACTACCGGGTCCTTTACATCAACCTCAGTCACCTCTGATGTTGACTTC